GCCCCCCCAGAGAGGAAGTACTCTGTGTGGATTGGTGGCTCCATCCTAGCCTCCCTCTCAACCTTCCAGCAGATGTGGATCAGCAAGCAAGAGTACGACGAGGCCGGACCCTCCATTGTCCACCGCAAGTGCTTCTAAAAGATCCATCAGGGTCTTCACGCTCCATCAGCCCCCCAGTTTCTATGTTCAGCACCATCTTTATTTTAACCCTCACTGAGCATGAACCAACAGGCCCCATGTCAGCTCCCAAAAACATTCACACAGCGACAACAGCAGTAGGAAGTCGGGCATGGTTTTTGGTATTTAGAAGTCCCCTCCTAGTTAGAAAATTAACATCTGGAAAAAGGGAAATCATGTTTTGTAAATCCTGGTTGTTTTTGGTGACCTGAACCATTCAGAACTTCCATTAGAAAACCATCAGGTTTTCAGCTCCTCCCACTCTGCTCACCTTAAAACTGTGAATGTGCCTCTTGTCCCCCCCCACCTGCCCTCACTCCAGCTGTGGCCCCGCCCACTGCATCCTTCTTGTTGGTACAGTTTCTGGTCCAAAGGTGTGGTTTTATTTTTGATGAATAAAGCTTGAATGTTTCCCACTGGTGTCATCTTCTCTTGTTAAGGAGTAAACATAGTGTTACAATGATGTCACACGGTGTGTGGAGCAGGAGGTCGGACCTGCACCAGAAAGGTGGAGAAGTTTAAAGATGGGAAACTGTGTCATGTGACTTCAACAACACAGAAGTGACAGGAAGACAATAAAAAGCTCTCGTACAAGACCACTGTCTGTTTCATCTGTGTAAACCTCCTGTACGCTGCCTGATAAAGAGCAGCAGCATCTATGGTGACAGATCACAATTTAACGCTTGTAGCTACACAATCAACAGTGGTAAAAAATAACTCCAAGAGCTTCCTGTCAAATTGTGAAACACAGCTGTAGGTCTTTGAAAAGTTTGGTCTACCTACTATATTATATATATACAGTGGGTACGGAAAGTATTCGGACCCCCTTAAATTTTTCACTCTTTGTTATATTGCAGCCATATGCTAAAATCATTTAAGTTCATTTTTCCCCTCAATGTACACACAGCACCCCATATTGACAGAAAAACACAGAATTTGACATTTTCACAGATTTATTAAAAAAGAAAAACTGAAATATCACAGTCATAAGTATTCAGACCATTTGCTGTGACACTCATATATTTAACTTAGGTGCTGTCCATTTCTTCTGATCATCCCTGAGATGGTTTACATCTTGTCAGTCAGAATGAAATATCCTGATGTAGAGTACTTTGAAAAGTGCACTCATATGTCATCATAAACCACATTATTATGATTTACCATTTAGATTCATTCTGAAGATGTTAGATATTACCAGGCATCTGAGGAAAAGTACAACCGGGTCATGTACAAACAAATGTTTTCTTTTTCACAGATTTGACACCACATAAAAAAGAAGACAGTTAAAAAAAGGGGAAGTGGCAAATTTACTGAATCTCAAAACTCAAAACTGCTTTGTGTGGTCACACAGCTTTCTCCTTCCCATTTTTATTCAACCACCAAACCTACAACTGCTTTTAAGAGAAGCACATTAAATCACATTTTTGACCATCTTTCCCACATTTTCACACCGACTCATCTATCTGGGTGAAACAGACCAAAATGCCACTGAAGCAAAATGACATGTTAAACATGACGACCAACGTTTACCATCCAACCTGACAGCACTGGAGAGGATCTGCAAGGAGGAATGGCAGAGGATCCCCAAATGCAGGTGTGAAAAACTTGTTGCATCATTCCCAAAAAGACTCATGGCTGTATTAGCTCAAAAGGGTGCTTCTACTAAATACTGAGCAAAGGGTCTGAATACTTATGACCATGTGATATTTCAGTTTTTCTTTTTTAATAAATCTGCAAAAATGTCAAATTCTGTGTTTTTCTGTCAATATGGGGTGCTGTGTGTACATTAATGAGGAAAAAAATGAACTTAAATGATTTTAGCATATGGCTGCAATATAACAAAGAGTGAAAAATTTAAGGGGGTTTGAATACTTTCCGTACCCACTGTATGTATGTATGGCTGTATGTATGTATACATATATATATATATGATTTAGGCCCCAAGTATCAACCGACAACACCAGACCAACTGTTTGAGGTCAAAATTCAAATTCTGCAGTGAATAAAATCTCTGGCAGGTCTGAGCAGCACTTGGTGTTTTATTACCAAAAAGTTTTAAAAACAGCAGTCCAGTCACTAACAACCAGAACAATAAAACATCTGTTGGTGCACAAACAGGAGGTACCAGTGCACCATTGTGCATCCCCAGGCGGCGCAGCAGCAGGACAGGGCTGTCAGGAGGTTTGTCTGAGAACATGTTGAAGATACAGCAACAACAGGAAGAAACTCGACACCTTTTAAAAAATGAAGATTTGTTTAAACGTGTAACCAAGGATTCCCAAATGGTGGATTGCGGGCCAGTTCAGTGAATACGAGTCAGCATTAGGACAACTTCACTTTGAAGTGAATTCCTGGCTTTTATTTTGAAGTTGGTCGAATATCAGACTTACTTTGAAACATGGCCTAACAGAAGTATAGTGGAGAGAATCTGAATGTTACTGACACTAAACCCACAAAAACACACGCGTGATGTTAACGTAGCCTATGAGCTCATCCTCCGGGTTTTAGCTGCTGACAGCGACGTCTGTGTTTTACTGAGATTTCACTGAGCCAATCAAAGTAAAATCTCTGAACCGATGAGACGTCCCGACTGCCCTCAGTGGGTTTCTGCTTGTACAAAGCTCAAACTGCAGATTTCATTCCCGGTTTTAGAAAATGTCCATGTTGCTTTTTACCTTCACTTCAATAAATGTCTTTCATGTCACTTTAATGGAGACAAATCTGTTTGTTTTGTTGAAGCTCAGAAAAAAAAACTTTGTAGTTTGAACAATGAAAAGAATAACGCTGCTTTTACAGGGTGAGAGCATTAAAGCAGCTCTGAACCTGCTGCTGCCCGACTGAAATCCAACAAAAACAAACACTCACATTTACATAATTCACTTGATAAAATAACTTGTTTCCCTTCAAAATTGACCAAACACTTGTTCATGTTAACAGTTAGCTCGTCTGACACATTCATGTTGGTTTTTCATGAGAAGGCACTCTGTCACTTCAACTGTTCCAGCACGCCTCACATTTGTTATTTAAAATGCACCAGGAGAAACTTCGATCCACAGAAAAAGCAAAAAAATAGAGATCCGTGTCTATTTAGAGCCAGCAGAGGATATCAAAAGCAGACACGTTTTGAGAACAAACTCCACAAAAAGCTTCAAAAACCATACAGAGAACTGTATGTACACTGTGTCTTCAGCGTGAGAAAACACTTCCTTCCATGAGTTAAAAGCTCAGACACAAAGGCGTTCAGTTTCCTCTTAAGAAAATAAAAGTCTGGCAGTAAACAAACAGACAGCGCCTCCTGTCTGTCACCTGAGGTCCAGCAGGCTGACCTTCGACTCTCTCACCACAACATGTTTACACACCTGAGAGGGCGAGAGACATACAGACACAGAGAGAGAGAGAAAGGCTGGAGGTAAATCTAGGTGTGTGTCACATGCATGAATTAACGAACTTTAAATCTTTAAAGGAACAGTCCAACATTTAGGTCAATCCTCTGGTTCCGTCTTCTCCAGACTCACAGATGGTATTTAGCCTATCTTAGCACAAAGACCCAGATGGGGGCGATGTTAGCCTAGCTTAGCACAAAGACTGAAAGTAGGAGAAGACGCTAGTCTAGTTCCATCAAAAGAAAAAAAAAAATACAGTAGGGTAATAAACTGGGCCTGATCCCAAAGAGCATTCAGGAACTAAACTGAGTGTGGTCGTTCTGATCAGGGTGGTGACAGATGGAGGGAGAGCTGTAATTGGTCAGGGTTCAATATATGATCTGTAGTGCCGCTAAGCCAAACACGGCAGGAACTTAAAAGACTACTCTCACACAGAGACAATGTTACAGGACTCGTATCATGCAGACTGAACCATATGTAGGTCAGACAACAATACTAACTAGGAGTAACAGAAAAGGCCTCACAGTGAAGAGAGGAGGATCCTTGGAGTGAGGATGGAAACCTTTCAGTCTGCAGCCAGAAACCTCTGACATCCCTGGACCAGTGAGCCTGAACACACCAGTACTGAGAGAGAAATGGGGAGTCACGATCACTGTCAAATCCCACTGAAGTCACTTGTTTAGAGTTTCATTTTTATTCCAATCAAAATCAGTATCTAGAATATAACATGACTCCACAGCTGAAACGCAGATTAATTCAGGAATACTGAAAACTGAAATAAAATTTAATACATTTAATACAGGGACACTCTTCAAGAATCGAGTGCATCTAAAACACAAGTAATAAAGCTGGAGCCACTTTAAAGGCTGGGTCACAACAGCATCCTGGCTGGATACCAGGTTCAAAGATGGAACTAGCTTCCAGGTGCCTGCTGGCCAACAGACTTTACATTGCCACAAAACTGAAACACGCTTTTTAAGCTAGTTTCACAGATCTCTGTGAATTAAAACACCATCACTGAAAGATTAAAAACAGCCCTTGTTTGCAGTTTAGTTTCTTTTATCACTGTGGTCTGAAGGGAAAATGCTGTTTGGGCCACAGGAGATTTGTCTGCTGTGATACAGCGAGTGAGTAGCAGCATCGTACCCGGACCTTATAATACACCCGACAGAACTGACCCAAACCGGACAGTGCATGTCCAGCAGAAAAGAAGAAACACATGGCCTCCAGAGTCCATCATTGTGGATCTTTCACTGGAAAAAATGGCACTCTTCACTTCTAATTAAAATCACCCCTCATTACTTTGTCACACCAGGGGCCAGATGCATAAAACTCTGTGTGGATTTATGACTAAAATTGTGTACACACTAAGACAGTTGTGAGTGTACACATTGTTTTTGTCAGATTTATAAAGCCAAATGTACGTGTGGTTCGGCCCTATAAAATCAAACTGTCCTGGAACTGGGCGCATGTGCACAAGCTTCTTTTCTGTTCCCACCTGTAGTCATAAATAGATGTAAATGTGCTTTTAATCAATCATTTGCATGCACTACTTTTATACACACACGCGAATGTATGGGAAAAGGTGTACACATGGCCTTTTGTATACACATATCATTTATGCAGCTGGCCCCTGGTGCTTTAAAGGCCTGGTGGGAAATGTAGTCTACAGTGTGTGCGTGACCTACTCGTTGTGTTTGGGAGCGCAGACAATGGCGATAGCCTCTGGCAGCATCAGCTGATATGAACAGTGAGTGTGGAGGTCAACACTGGAGAGGAAGGCCGTCTGAGTGGGATGAGTCTGCAACACAAATGCACAAACTCTCAGGCATTCATGACGACGACAACAGCTGACACAGCACGGAGGGGATTCTTATTAGACTGTGAGGACACAAACCTGACCACTCGTTGACAGTGTGGGGACCCCGCAGGTTTAACTGTATCTTGGTCACAATTTTTTAAGAACTGAATTTAAGGATCCTTTTCAACAATGCTTGTTTTTGCTTTAAAAATGAATGTCAGTCAAACACAGTGTGCGTTTTTAAACTGTAGGAGTAACCTGCCAAACATCTTCAGATCCGTTATGAGAATGGCTGTCCAACAAAAACCCTGTATCATCAGAATGTTTTACTTTCAAATAGAAGAAAACCAGTGACATTAAATTTTCCTTGAGCAGGGACTGAATCTTGCATATGTATCACTCAGCTGCTGTGGCAACCACCAAACATGGAGATATGTGGTTTTCACTGGACAGATGTGATGTGGAACAATGGAGATGCCAAAAACAAGAAAGTGAAAGTCACTGAGACATGAACACAAACTAATCAGAGCATTCGTTAGTGAATAAACCAACACACATGATTAGTAAAGCAAAGTGAGACCTCCGTCCCGCTGTTCCTATCTCTGTCCCTCCCTCTCTCCACTCAACCACAGGCCTGTTGCCATGGTGATATCTGATCATGCAAATGGGGTGAGAACAAAAATACAACAGAGGTCACTTCTCTGTGCATCTGGCTTATATAGTGCTGTGAGGACCTCAGATTTAACTGCTAATCGATGCTGTGTCCCTCATTTAGTCCACATTGTGAGGACCCAGACCTGTCACCACATTTACACTGTGAAGACCTCACAGTTTTAACTATTTAGTCTGGAAAACAAACTTGTTTTTTTAGCTCAGTTTAAGGAGCCTGTTCAACCAACTAACTGTATTTGTCTTTAGTCTTTGTTTAGCACGTAGTCGTACATGGATCCAGCCCAGCGTCAGCAGGTTCTGCTGGTCCTGGAAGCTGAACAGCTCCTCCACGTTCTCCATGTCGCAGAAATCTGGACCGGCCAACTGTTTTGGGATCACCACATGAGTCAGCATGAATTCATTGTGCGTCTAAGGGTGAGAGACAGTCACACACACACAAGACGGAAAACAGAGAGAGAGAGAAAAATAACCAAATTGAAACACTTAAGAAATTCAAAATCTGTATTTAGGAAAAAATGCACAAAAATGTCCCTCGGTATCAACGCAATTCTGATGAGGTCAGAGGCGACTGCGACTACAAGCCAGCTGGACCAGCCACCGCTTAACCTGAGCAAAACACAAGGCAGATGCTGTGTGTCAAGCTTCTTGGCCTTTCAGCTAAGATCTTACAATAAATAAATAAATAAAAAATTGTTCGGGGGCAGCTGTGGTTCAGTGGGTAGAGCTAGAAAGTTGGAGGTTCGAATCACGGTGCCTAAAGTCCACATGTCGACGTGTCCTTGGGCAAGACACTGAACCCCAAGTTGCCCGAGATGAGTGTGAGTTGTCACTGCAGATGGCTGCCTCGCTTCTGTACCGGAAGCAAATTCCTTGTGTGTAACATACTTGGCCAAATGAAGTGACTATCATTATCCCATATCTGCTCATGGCTCGGGTGAGGACAGGGTTCAGGATGCCTTGTGTTAAGGGCAGGTTAAGTCTGGAGCATAGTGTTAGTCTTATCGTGGGCCTCTGCAGATTTAGGACGGCCTGGCCTGACACTCCCTTTCTGGGGCCAAGTGATAGGTAACCATCATTTAACTCATACGCTGAGCTTCCAGAGGAATGCTGGCCAATTCTTTGGCACATTTTACTGTCTGTTATTGACTGATGTGAGACTGGTAGTTGGTAAACAGTCAGAAAATACTAAGTTAAAGTCAGCCATTCCATAGTCAGTCAGTAAATGTTATTAGTGAGTGAACAGTCTGTAAACATTCAACAAGCAGTCAGCAGATAGATTAGTCATTACGGACTGATTATGTTTCATAACAGTATATAAAGAGTTAACAGTCAGTGACCAGTCATTATTCAGTTATCGGTAAATAAACCATCTATAAATGTCCAATAAAAAGTCAATAATCAGTCATTATACAGTCTCACCAGCCAGTCCCAGTAACCACCCAATGACCAGTATCCAGCCATTCAGCAGTCAGCCCCAGTAACCAGCCGGTCAGCAGCCTCACCAGCCGTCCACAGAGGACTCCGCAGGTCTCGATGCCTCTGGCCGTGTTGGAGTTGGCCAGCAGCAGGAAACGATATGTCAGATCTCTGGGAATCACCACCCACCTCAGACCCTCTACCCTCTGAGCTGCACAACACACACAAAACAAACACACAGGAGCATGAATACATGTGGAATACACAGTGTCTGCACACAGTGTGTACATGTGTGTGTACTCACTGTGTACTCCAGCCAGTGTGGCAGCCGGTTGGCTGACAGGACCCAGGGGCCTGTTTCTGTTAGGATCCGCCCCCTGGACTCGTAATCTGTCTCCGATTGGCTGCCGAGACAGACAGGAGCCGTCTGTCACCTCGGACACTTTAGTCCCCACCTGAATGAAAAACACTAGTAATACTACTGATTGTACACAATGCTGATACTAGGCACATACAGAAGCAGCACTAACTGTAGTACCAGTAGTAGCAACTGTACTAGATATACATTAGTATTCACAGCAGTACGAGTAGTAGGGAAATGACAGTACTAGTAGCGGTAGCTGTAATGTTGTACTACTTGTATAAACAATAGTATTTGCAGTATCAGTGGAGGTAAATGTAATAGCACGAGTATCAGCAGGAGAAGCAATAGCAGCAGTAAGAGTAGTTGTACTAATATTAGGGCACCAATAGTAGTAATTTGAAGTAATCATAGTAGGTAATCGGTAATAGTGGTATTAGCACTTATAGGAGAAGTAGTAGTTGCAGCAACACTAAAACTAAATGTAGAGGCAGTTGCAGTACTACAGTATAGTACTAAAGCATTAGCAGTAGTATTACTTGTATGAAGTAAGTAGTTGGAGTGTTAGCAATAAGAGCTGTAGTAGTAAAAGTGCGGTCACCTTTTGCCCCACCTCCTCTCCTCTCCTATTGGCCAGTTCCTGACGCCTCAGCTGGTCTTCGAAGTAACGAAACTGCTCTGATTCGATCTGCATCTGTCGCAGGCTGGCAACACGCTGCTTCTCCTCCTCCAATAGCAACAGCCGCCTTCTATCCTCATCCAAGAGGGAGAGCTGCTGCAGCTGCTGGCCACACCTATCCACCGCCACCGCCTGGCTCTGATGAAAAATTAAAACAGGAGCGCAGCACAAATTACTGCAGTATTATTGTGAAATACTTCTCGGTAAACTCAATCACTCTGGGATTTATTAGATAAACTAACTAGTGAAACATTTTCTGGTATTGTCTGTTATTAGATATTTATTCATTTAAATGTTCAAACCTTCTTTCATGAAGATGTAGTTTTAGAGCAGCAGGTTTTGGAGTCATAGTACTCCAACATGTTTATTGATAAAACAGTCAAACTGAGAGAAGCCGTGGTGGGCAAACTGCCACAATCTGCCCCCCCCCAAAAAAAGAACTTTGTGTGCAGAAGCAAAATGTCTCCTCTGGCTATTGAAGGCCCTGAACACAGAGTGACACTGGACTGCAACCATACCTCCTACATTTATTTTCTGACCTTCCCTTCAGATTAAAGGGCTACACGAGGCAATGAATTCGTATAGTTACTGGCTGTCACCACACACGTACCCATGACAGACAGTTAACCATAATGAAGAATATCCATCCCCATCCTCAGCAGGTGTTGAAAGAACGTGGACCAAAATGACAGGGTGGAATCAATGCTAACATTAGCAAGCAAGGCTAACTAGCTTCCACTTCTTCGCAGTGCACATAGAACATCAAGGTAAACCCCTTATTAGCATGTGATTGCTGTACTTTGTGTGGGGAAAAGCCCTCCCTCAGTGCGTGAACACAGACATGAAATGTGTTATCTGACCCAGTGTGATGTCCACTTCCTCGGGATCTCATTATCTCCGATGTCCCTCCATAAATCGACTGAGAACCCAGAGGAGAAGAGGCTGCGGAACCTGCCTGACAATCCTCCTGTTTCTAAGTTTCCATCAGTCTCACAGTGATCCAGTGACAGTTGTCTGTACATCTATGGGGACACTGCACACAGGAGCTGCTCACTGGTCAGTCAGGGTACTTGATTCTCCAAAATGTTAAAAATACTAGTTGTAGTTCAGTGTAACTTACTGGAGCCACATAAATATTATACTTTGTGTTTCTTGTAATGAAAGTTTTCATTTGTTCACATTAGTGAAGACTGATGATTAATGTAACAGTATCCAAAACACTTTACACAAGAATTTAAGCTCCCAGGAACAACACAACCCCTCTCCTGAGTGAAAATCCAAACTGGGCTAGTTCTCATCAGCCGTGCTCTGACAACTGATGTCCGTCAATGACCGTCACACTGACTTTGTGGATGTGGAGAACAAGTCTATTTTTCTTTGGTCTTGGTCATAATTGCATTTTACTTTTTTATTTGAAAACAGACAGGCACAGTGTAGAGTGAACACAGACTTATACTAATATCTCCATTTTATTTTTTTAACAATGAACAACTCGTTCGCCCACCCACCCCTCCCATTTGAATATGGAGCACATCCACAAAGAGTCATGATGCCGGGGGGGCTGCACTTAGTAATGCACAATGTTATGTACATACACATGTACAATCAATGTATTTTCTTCTGATAGTAACAACTGCACAAGCTATTTATAGTCTGTAGTGTGCAGTTAGGGTCTATGTCTAAAAACTAACCTCCATCTTTAACCTGCACTCACCTTTCTGCTTACATTGTCATGTTAACGCTCAGGTTAACACACATTCCATATCTACTCACCATATACAGGCCGTTCCACTGAATAATACCCATGAGGCACCTCTTAACACAGCACTCAAAAGGTGTTCACAGAGATGAACTCAATGTAAAAGTCAGCACTCCATGTTACAGGTGTGATTAGAGCAGGCAACAGTAACACTAGGAGCTCCCTGTGTGAGACAGAGATAAACTGCCATCTAATCTACAGAACACACACACACACACACACACACACACACACACACACACACACACACACACACACAATGATTGGACCACACAAACTCACACACTGACCTGGGCTCTGAGGTACTCCGTGTGTTCTCTGCTGTATTTCTCCTGAAGACGTTTTTTTAACTCATCTTTACGAGGAAACGCCACCTCCTGCAGTTTCTACACAGACAGAGTATAGCTGTTACTGCTGTAACTACTACTCCTACTGTCAACATGACCAGTACTAGTTCTGCTACTAGATGTCTGCAGCTAAAGTCTCAGCTGCAGACATCTGCTGCTGAGACTGACTACATTCATTTGACAGCATCCTGGACTCGTCTGCAGGCGTCTGGGGACGGACTCTAGAGGTGTGGGGATTAGCTGCAGAGGTCTAGGGTCAGTCACCGGGGGGGCTGGGAGGTGTGCCTGGTCACTAACAGTCAGAGCTGTTACCTTCATGATGAGCTGCTTCTCGGGGACACTGCACTGCTGGTAGTCTCTGTGGTTGGGCAGCTTCTCGACAAACAGGCTAAACACACAGCAGCAGATAAAACAGGATGTCAGCCATATTCTTCTGATAATATTAGTGCAAAGGTGTTATATGTGTCTCACGTGATGAACTTGGTGTAGAGGACGTAGGCATTCTCCAGACTGCCCTCCTCCAGGTAAACCGCCGCCATGCGCTCCATCTCCACTCCTGAGCGGAAGTAGCGTCGTGGAGCGATGTCCTCATTGATCTCCACGCTGCATCCCATCTTCCCTAGCGCACGGACACGCTCGGCTGCCGTCAGCGACACGTCGGTGTAGTCCGGCTCTGCTGCCAGCTTCTTCTGCACAAACACACCAGTTCAGAAGGTCACCAGTCCCGCGCCCCCTGGAGGCTGCACAACAAACTACTCATTTAAAAGGGGCATTTCACTCATTTTACATATCCAACTCAGTGTGCTGGTCCTGGGTAGGCCTCAGTTTTTGTTTTCCTTATATACTGCCCGGGCACATTAATTATCGCACCTGTACAATCGTATGCAGTTCAACGCAGTGTGAGCCTCTCATGTATGTAGCTGGGAAGGACAAAAATATAGAGACACCTCTGAATATAATGCAGTCCAGTACAACACCACCTTTAACTATGACCTCAGTAATAAACACAGAACTGAATTTATACATTTATTACAATTTCACCAAAAACAAACATTTTGAGCTTCATAAACACAGATGTCAAGGTGGAAGTGTTGCACTGAAGTGCATACAGCAGTACAGGTGTGCCTATTAAAGTGGCTGTGAGTGTATAATAAAATTTGATGCATTAAAACTGAAAAGGTAAAAAAAATGCTGTATGCAGGTTTGTGCACTGAATATTATGCCTCATCCACTACTTTGTCATGACATTAACATCTGAACTGTGTTCTCAGGCAGAAAACTGAGATTTACGGTCCCCACAGGGTGCCTGAATGCAGCGTTTGTTACAGGAGGAGAAACAGGGCTCTGTTCAGGGTTTATATTCAGGACAGGAAGCAGGAAAAACGGCAAGGGGATCAGAAACAGAGGGAAGGATGGAAGGAGAGAGGGAGGAAGGATAGATGTCAAGGTGAGAAGACAGGAATAAAATGTAGAACACAAAGACAAGGAACAGTGAATAAAAAGGAAAAGAGAAAGAAAGGAGGAAAGTGACAGATGAGCAGATGGAAGACAGAAGGAAGAGAAACACAAAGGGAAAAACAAGAAATGAACAAAAATGAAAAAGAGGAAGAGAAACAGAAAGAGGAAGTCAGAGTGAAAATAGACAGTGTCCTGTTATTGCCCTCTATCCATCACAAAACGCTGCACTCACCAAGATACTATCATACATCAGTGTTTCATTTGTTAATGCCTCAGCAAAACACAAACACAAACACAAACACACACACACACACACACACACACTATTATTTCCAACAGTGCAAAGATGATAAAAGGATAAGGTGAGAAATGTGAGGCCCATCTGCTTTTAACAAACAGCCATCACTTTGTAGCAGTGTCTGACGGAAGACAGTCACTCGTGCCTGCTCTGTTGACCCAGGCCCACTTGCTGCTCACACTGCACGAAAAACGCAATGGATCCGAGGGCTTGCATTTGCCCACTACGCTGGCTCGTCTCTGTAAAATCAGTTTAACGTGTAGAGTTGTTACACTGACAGCAGTCGGTCAGTGAGCACGCAACGTTTCACTTTTCCACATGATGTCAAACGTAGCCTGGATTCCACCAGGCATCACGTCTGTGAAGGAGAACTGCACAAGCTACACAGACGCACAATGTAAATAAATACATTCACACAAACCTGTAGCGCACAGACTCTTTGGACAAAGGGGCTCTTCACATGGAAAGTAACTAGAATTTAATACCTCTTAAAACGAAGATGAAGAATTTTTAATGGTCTAAATTTTCACTGAACCGGTTAGACACCTCACTGGCTCACTGGGGTGGTGTTTAATAGTTTGTGGGCAGTGGAGGTCTGTGGCACAGACCAACAGGCTGAACCAGAGTCTGCTTTCACACACACATTACAGTGAGTATACCACTTTGGGATTTGTGGGAAACAACACTAACCACTGGCCTGATCTTTTATTCAACATCATTTGGGCTTTTAATTTGAAGGTTTGCACAAAACCAGAGGTAGTTGGCTATACTTCTGATGCACTGCATCCTATAGCTCCTTACCCTAATATAAACCTAGACCCCAAAACCAGGTCTGAACTCTCAAACAGCACATTGAAGTCTGAGGACTGGACAGCATGTCCTCACAACCATGGCATCTAACTAAGATTTGGCCACAGACCCTGCAAAAAGACACAGAAACACTCACCAGCATATTTAAGCTGAAGCCTTTGTCCATTTTGCATCTGTGTGCGTATGTGTCACTGGTCGGCCCACAGCCGGTGTATCCATCTGCCACCTCCCATGATGCTTCACTACAGAAGAGACAAAAACAGAAGAAATGAGCAGTTTTCCCTCGTTGTTAATGTGGCTTTAAAGACAAATTTGGGTGTAATGTTCCTTTAAATTTATAATTTAAATCCTTTAAGTACTCTATTTTCATTCTTATTTTTACCTCATTTCCAAATGCACATTCCCTTCTTTGCTTACATCATTTACATTATTATATTATATGGCCTTATATCGGCATACTGCTTATTTGCCCTTTGTTATTGCCTTACAAAAAGATACAGTATGTACAAACGTATTGAGAGCCGCTGTACCAGAGTCAAATTCCTCGTGTCCAAAACACCTGGCCAATAAAACTGATTCTGATTCTAAATCTGAGCCCTCAGTGTAAGGAGCTAGCATGGTGGCTAATGCTACCAGGCAGCAGCAGCCAACCGGAGCAGTCTGTGTGAGGAAGGCATTTCATTTCCCATCAGCCCCACATCATCATGTCTGGTCACCCTTCAGTTTGGTCCACAGTTACCAGGACAACTGGAAACCAATCCTCCAGTGAGTCAGCCACTTTAATAACAAAGAGAGAAGAAGAAAAGACAAAAGAGGAGGAGGAGTAGAACTTCTGCTCCTCCGTGTTTTCTAACAACTAAATGAAAAGAGAGGAGCAGACGAGTCTGACTCAGTCCATCAGCACAACACCATCTGCAGGGCATTGCCATGGCAACAACAGCATCCAGAGCAGAGACCAGAGAGACCAGGGACCAAAGAGAGCACAGAAGCCAGAGACCAGGGTCCAAAAAAATAAATAAAACAGAAAGGCCAGAGAGACCAGACAAACCAGAGATGGCCTTGATATTTCCAGTTTGCAGTCTGTTCGACTGTTGGTCAAATAAAACCAAGGTCACATACAAAGATACATTTAATTTCCACACCTTGTATATTCTTATCAACTTTTCAACACATTTATTTCCTAAGTCACGTTCAGGCCCCCATAGCTCAGACGAGAGGCCTGCACTACGAAGCGAGGTCAGCTTATTCTGGTTCTCTTGGGGTGATCTGGCTTCACTGACTGTCCTGGATAACCAGTACCACAAAGCCAGTCATCAGCTGGCTCTGTTAAATCTGGGTTTTCCTATCAGTCCACGAGCGCCTGCATGTGAGAGGCTAAGTTGTTAAGGAGACGTGACAGCAACAGCACCATGAGTGAAGTCAGCCACTGAAAATACGAGACGGAGCAATGATACCTGCGAGCAGGAAGTGACGTTACAGCAGGTGAAGTGTGAACAACAATCACAAAACTAGAGCCAAATAAAAAGCTACAGAAACTCAGGAAATAATTTTCAACTATTAAGGAAAGACTAAGAAGATACCGTGCACTACTCACCTTATTCAGTGAGTAGTGTTTTCTTCTTCGTCTGATGATGAAGAAGCTGTTGTCAAAAAACCCAACGGTTTTTGCGGAGAGGAGAGGAGCTACACCTCATGTTCATTTTATAATCAAGGGACATTTTAACAGAGGATGGCTTACTGATTTAATAAAAAACCATTATCACAGAGTGTCCTCATGTGATTCTGAGCTGCAGCGATGGAGCCTGTGAAAAATTCGATCCATAATCAAATCATCTTTGTGCATTTAAAACACAATGCTGATCATCATGAAGGCTGCAGACTCCCTCAGTTTATTAGAAATCCGTAAAGAGCACAACTATACGACTGTGCTGTATAAACATTTATTTAATATTCATCACATTAATGTAGACTCGGACCCCGTAGGAACAACCGCTCAGTGTTTCCAGTGATCTGACTGGTCGGTGCTCAGGCTGTTGACAGGCTTAGATGTGATCATGCTAACCTGCTCCAGAGCAGGTTGATGATGTGTGGCATAAATTGCCACAGTAATCGAGCCAGTTAAAAGTTAGCCAGCTTCGTGGTACCAGAAAACCTGAGCTGATCTCAAAGTTAGCTGGATAAGCTGCTCATCTCACTTTGTGGCATGGAGCTCAGTTGTCATTTTCCTTTCAGGTGTTCCCTGACCCCTACATCAGCATTCACACCTGCCATCCCACAGCTTCAGCCTCCAACTCATTTATATTCGGTGTTTATAGTTTTCTCTGCTGCTTTGCAAATAAGCTGGACTTTCCCCACATATAGTTTGTTCTGCACAAGATCACAATACAGCTGATTCAGTCCAGTCGTCCACAGCGTGAAGAGGTATCAGTTGTATCTGTTCTTTGGATCAAAACAGATCTGCTTGTTCTCAGTCCAAGTCTTATTCCAGAACGTTTAAGAAGGATTTCAGTGTTAGTTCATGCAGCTGTTAAAACAAGCCAAGCCTGCAGCTGAACTCCACATGCCATATGATGTTGAGAACCCTGACTAGCATGCTGCTAATGGCACATATTCTGACAGGCTTGTTAGCTGACACAAGGATTTACTGCTGAAACATGAGCGAAAGGTTAGTGCTGTGCCGAGTGTAGAAACTGTGTTGTGACAAATGTGTTTTAAGCTTTGAAACGAGCCACAGCTGGTGACCAACGCTATATGCTGCCTGTATTGACGTGTGTTGCCTGAAGGGGGCGCCCTCTACTTCTGACGCAACAGGTTTAAACAGGTGTAGTCCTACCTGTGGTTCAGGTGTGTTCACTCACACTTCCTGTTCGTCCACATTCACTTTGAAAACATCTGAGCTCACCTGTTTGAGCACACTCACCTGTAGTGCTACACACTTAAACTGCAGCTGGTCACGTTCACGGGCTTTAATTTGTACAATGACATAACATTTAAAAATTACTTGATTTAATATACTGACTTCTGCCTGGTGTCATTAAAGTGCAAAACTTTAAGTTTACCAAGCAAAGACTTGCACCTTAAATGGGACTTAATTTTATAATTAATCATGCAGTTGTTTTAATTGACTTTAATGGATTAGAATAAGGCATCTCTACAGGATTTTCTTCAGTTTAAAGGATTTTCAATCAATCATTTCATCACCATCATCAATTTTAAAGCAGTAAACAGCTCTTAAACATTCATTCATTCATTTTCTACCGCTTAATCCCTGAACGGGTTCGGAGCCAATCCCGGCCGGCAATCGGGCGAGAGGCGGGGGACACCTTGGACAGGTCGCCAATCCATCACAGGGCTAACACATAGACGAACAACCACACACACACTCCTATGGGCAATTTAGAGACACCAATCAACCTAAGCTGCATGTCTTTGGACTGTGGGAGGAAGCCGGAGTACCCGGAGAGAACCCACGCAAGCACGGGGAGAACATGCAAACTCCACACAGAAAGGTCCCAGGTGGGGCCCGAACCTGGAACCTTCACGCTGTGAGGCAACGGCGCTAACCACTGTGCCACCGTGCTGCCCGGCCCATAGAATGTTAACACTCTGTTATAATTCTTTAGTATATTACTTGTGTGGTGTAGAAGAGAATTATTTATGTCGTGATACTGCTTGCAAACCAATGATGGTAAGATGATGTCATGGGGTAGGACTGGATAAGTCTGACTTCTTCCTACTCCATTCAAGCATGTACTAGGTATAAGCAAATTGATATTGGATTAGCATTTGTTGGATATGTGTATAATTGTGTGTGTTGACATATCGACTATCTTTACATGCATGAACCCCTACTTTGAGATGAACTCTTAAATCTGCACCTTAATCCATTTTAGTGAAAACTAACCAGGATGTAACATTAATTTGTATTTAAAAAATGTTTGACAAATCTAAAACACTTCGAGCAGAAAATCAGTTTTCATTAATACACCGAGTTTGCTACGTTTTTAAGGGATTTTTCCTCTTTCAAAACCATTAATGAATGCTTTATTAACCAAACAAAGATAATAGTCTGGTGTGAAAATTAAGGAGAAAGTCACCCCTTAGACTTAAGTGTTTTAAGAGGTTTGGTTAGGCCTCCAGGGAACCGGAAAACAGCTCTTAAATTCTATATTGTTTAAGGGGTTAACAGACGCATTTAAACATGAAAAATAACAACCAAGCCGTTTGTTATGTTGAATGTCTGAGTCAGATGTCTCCACCCCTTTAAAAAGCCCTTAAACTTATTCTGAATCAGCTGCTGCTTCTTTTTCTGCACGTGACTCGGGAGACAAAATCGGGGGGATTCATTCAGTGCTGGACGGTCTTCTTACCTGTGATAACAGGTGAAACGAACACAAACGCGCTAATTTCCTGTTGCCTCTGAATAACAAGAAGGGAACCGAGACCGAGACAAACACCCAGCAGCGCTCTGCCTCGGTTCTACTGAGCCCGCGCGGACAGGTGAACAGGTGAAAACACATACAAAATGGCAGAAATCTCCGGGATGACAGTGACTGAATTTACCGGTTTATCGTCGGCTTTATCTCCGCAGCCTATCGGCATCATCCTGCTGCCACATGTTGAGCTCAGACACGGTGGCGAGGCGCCAGTCAAGTCGAGTTAGAGCGACGGGATCCAGACGAAATGCAGAGCCGATCCAGGACTACAGCAAACCGGGGCTTAAGGAGAAATGCTAATAAAGCTGGTTAAACGGAAGCAGATGAAGCTGATAATAAAATGGCTGAAAGCACCGGCTGCTGCGGCGACTGATGGAGCTCTGAGATCGTCTCTGCATACAGAACACTCACTCCCATTTTCCGGGTTCACAGGTGTGGGTGTTAAAGCTGCGCATGCGTAAAATTGCAACCACAGAACAGTGGAACCGATATCTCACTCTGACACAATTTCTAGACACCAAACTAACAAAACTGAATGTTTAATAATAAATCCTGTTTTTCAAATTAAACATTTCAGCTTTATGTTTTCTTTTATTTGCTATGAATTTATATCTGTTTCTAAGCTGCAGCACCTGGGCTCCCTCCTTGTTGGTCCACGATGCAGATTCACAAGTCGAAATTCAGGAATTGAAATTAAAATGTAGGCAAAACATTGACAGAAAACTCTGGCGATCGCAGCATTTTGATGGTATGAAACAAAGCCACACACATATCTGACTCCATTAAAAATGAATTCAAGTGCTTTTGAGGTGTAAAAACCCTTTAACATGCACAAAATAACTTCACTGGCAAATTTTATTTTGGCTGTTAAAGGCGCCAATAATCACTGACTTTTTCAGTTTAGCTTTGGATTCATTATTTTTCTGCCAATTTTGCAGGAAACCTGAAACACTGCACATCCTTCCATCTGAAGCTAAAGAAATATTTTTTGGGATATGTGATTTTCACATATATATTCAAATATAATTTCTTGTACAATATGAAGCATTACTGCGGGTAAAAATATGCACAACCCAACTGATCACATCATTAAAGCTGCTGGGTATATAAAATGGTCCAGGGGGATAAAGTTAAACACACACACGATCTGCTGCTGCTTCATAATCACAAGATGCATTCATTAACATTGCTCATTGAAACCAGACTGCTGGCCAACCTGCAGCAGACACAGGACACTGAGGAACGCCAACTATATCACAGTCTTCACACACAGCAAGTGCAGTTCCACCAGAATGCAGTGTAATGTTTGACCAAGTCTCCACCAAGAAACTGAGAAAATAAGCAAGGAGAATTGATGCTCATTTCCATCCACTACAGTTACACTGAATATTAGCAGCTGGTTTATTTTCCAGATGGGGCCATTAATCCATTGCAAAAGAAGCTAAAAATAGCTTTTAGTTTTTCAGTGACTGCAGTAGCAAAACATACTACGTAGATGAGAAATGAACAAGAGCCCCACTGGCCTTTCTTTGATTTATTAAGAACGCCATAATTCAGCTGAATGGTCATTAGCAGATTATACAGTGAATGACATAGAATGAAGAATACTCACTCCCTTTATAATATGGCAAAGAAGGTGTAGAAAGAGACAACCTCACATGGTAAGAGATAAAAAAATCCTCTGCTAGATGTGATCACTGTCTAGGCGGTTAAACATCATACAAAATATGTTTCACCCTGAGTGTGAAGCGTCAGGATCCTGCTATCTAATCTATTCAAGGATTCTGACCTCTACAGCCTTCGTTAATGCATCATGAATGTAGTCACACACTCTGTAGCTGTACAAAGGCACCATACAGTGAAAAGAAAAACTAAACATTGTGATTTGCTGATTTAGCTAAATAATACTGAAAATAGAAATTTGTCTTCACAGTGACATTTCAAGATTACTGTATTTTTGAATTTCCAGTACTTCCACTCATTTTCTTTTTACATGTAGATTGGATAAAACTGAATTAAAAATGGGTGGATGGGCACCCACCTACTGACACTCCACCCTCTAGCGGTGCTCCTGCAGCAGCTTCAGGATGGAGGGAAACATCTGTTCAGGAGCATCCAGACCCCAAACAAAATCCAGATGTTCCCAGTATTCAATGTGCTGATGGTAAACCAGGTTGGACAACTGCACACACAGACAGAAAGCTGATATTTCTCAGTGTTGATCGCTATTAATGAAGACATTTCCTCTGAGGATAGCACATTGTCTTTCTGAATTTAACCACTGGGACACTGAAAGTCGTCAAAACATTTTGTACAAATCTTTGTATAAAGTTATGATCCTGTAGAGCAACGCTGCATTTCTCTTTCTCCCTGTGCATTTTATAACAAATTGTTTATTAATCATGGAAACATTTTGTGCACATAGATTTCTGTGAGAGCCATAACTGCTGCAATTTTCTTCAGGTACTGATAATAACTGGATTTGACCAAGTGTCGAATTTTGCCATAAATGCTGCAGGTAAGCAGATGTAACTAATGAGGAGCCCGTACACGACTTGCTCCTTGTTCCTGATGGAGACACACTGGACTCTAAAACATGAGCTGTAATCCAGCATGTGGGTTAACTGCTTCTTCTGGTTCTGGTTTTGACTCCTCCTCTTCTACCTGTGACTCTGTGTATCCGAGCACTGACCTGAGTGAGGAGCACTGCGATATCTTTGGGGTCCGCCAGCGTATCCTGTCCCCCTGAAAACACAGCGGTGGGAACCTTCATGTCCTGCACACGGTACTGAGGGGGAGTGGTCTGCAGACAGACACACGGAAGACTCAGAGAAAACCGAACATTACACAAAGTTTCTTTCTGAAAACTGATGTGCTCCAGTGAAGACTGGGGTTTACAGGAAGCAGAGACACAGCTGCAAACACGGAAATTCTTATTATGTGTCTAATAACTATATGCAGCCCACGATCACAGGCCAGACGTCGTTTATTAGATGTCAGGTTTATTATCAGAAACCTGACATCAAGTCCTCTCCAGGACTGAGTGCAGAAAAAGTTAGCCCAACACTTCCCAATAAAAGCATTTAATATACAGAGAGATTATGAAGGAAATGTGTTCAGTGTTATGGTGCTGGTTCATGTGTGACTCTTGACGGGTCCTGGTCCAGTCTCACCTGGTTGTAGTGCTTCATGTTTCCTTCAGCTCCAAAGTCGAACGCCATCAGTTTCCCTCTCCGAATGGCCTGAAACAGCAGCAAAAACTCTTGTCTGCACATTGTAAACCAGGACATTTGGCTGTTTCTGTCTTCAGAGTGCTGTGAAGTGCACAACTAAACCGTATACAGTAGAGACCAGTTCACAGTTACTCCACCTCATTCTCTTACAACAGTAAAAGGACACAGACATTAATGCATCAGTAGTAACTCGTTTTACTTATGATATTTTAAGTAATAATACTTGTGTACTTTTACTTAAGGACAGTAAGCTTTTGAATGCAGGGCTTTTACTTGTAGCATCTGAGTACAGCCTGCAGCCTCCACAGTGACCACACAGGTGAGCCAGCACCTCTGTGAAACAGTCTGAACACAAACTGAAAATCACCGCCTTCGTGGAGGAGGACTCACTGCAGCACTGTGGGATCACAGGGGTTCCTAATAAACTGACTACTGTGGTTGGTGCGTTACCTGGGTCCAGTGGACCATGTTCTGGACTGAGGTCCCTGCAGGACAGTGAGCGACGTAGACTGGAATCCGAGTCTGGAAACAGTTAATTACATGAGAATCATGTGTCATAAAATAAAGTCAAACATTTGAGCAAATTCCAGATTTATTTTTGAAGGTAAAAGTAGCAAATTAAAAATGAGACTTTATTCACATGCTAATGTGCACACTCTGGCCGTGCCCAGGTTGGGACATAAGTCAGCTACATATAAAATCCACCCAGACATCCACAGCTGTACACACTCAGTATTTATGAATGGATGACTGAATGGGCCTACGGAGCCTCTGACTGCTGCAAAGTCAGTCACATGACTCGGAAAAGACACAAAACCACACAAAACAATTACACAGAAACCTATAAATGACTGCAAATAGATAAACGTGGCCACTGCTGTGCTGGTTGCAGTCTCTCTTTCAGTCTGGGGGCCTGATGTCTCATGATCCGTCCATGTCTCCAGCATGTTTTTTTAATCAGTGACAGTCACTTGACATGAAAACTACAAACCATTAATTAAACATCAGTTCAGCCTGTTAAAGAAACAGTCGTGGTGCCTTCAGTGTCACCTGATGTCAGGCGGACGTTTCATGTTTGTCTGATACGAACCATGTTGAGGTTTTTCTCATCGAAGCCGCACAGGATGAATAAGATGTTTCCACACAGCTCGCTGAGGTGCGCCTTCGTACACACGTGTTCTGCCAACCACTTGGTTATGTTATTCTCAGGCAGGAAGTCCTGCCTACCAAAAAGTTTCTACATAAGGACAACACCAAAGAGATTGTCAGCATGTTGTTGATACATCATCAATACATCGACACAGAGGAGTCACTCAGTTAATTGATCAGTGCACCATTTTAAACAGACAACACAGATACAACAGAAGACAGAGGTGGGCGGTTTTGTTTGGCTCATTCAGTCAATAAATTTATCAGTCATTGAAGCAACAATTCAGCTGATTCATTTAATCCTCTTAAGCAGAACTGTCATTAACTCATCGCCTGGATGATTCGTAATGCGAAGCAACCTCACGTTACAAATGACTCGTTAACAGTTCACATATTGGTGACTCATTAGCAGGAGGTCCAGTCTCACCCAGATGAGGCTGTCTGGCAGGAACGACAGTTTGGCCATGGGGCTGGTGACGAAGGAGGTGGTCACCACGGGAGCCAAACCAAAGAACAACCGGATCTTACTGGCCAGCTCTGGCAGCATGGAGAATGCTATGAATGCTGGGAAAAAAAGAGAAACTGTCAAGAGAGAGTGCTGACCTCTCTGGGCCACTGTACATGGTTCTAATCAACGCAATTTTCCAAATAAAGTAAGCGTTAACCTTACTTTGCCTGATTTTCTCTGACAAGTACCTATAGTGCTCCCCTGAGAGTGTCCGACGTAGAAGATCTGCTCCTGTCCCGTCACCTTCAGGATGTGGTTTACAACTGCTGGCAGGTCCTTCAAAGCCATCTCATCGTGACTGCAGACACAGACAGACTGAAACCCTTCACTCTGATGATGCAGAGTTTCCTGTCTGAGCATTCAAGGCTACATGAAATGAAAATACATTTGTTTGTTGCCTTTTTCTGTGACTGCGCTGATGTGATGCCATTACTTGATTTGCATGTCCCTGGATCTGACAGATGAAGTAGAAGCCCTGTATTTTAACCAAAGCACCCATTTACAGTCTCATGTCACTCATGTGGCTGTGGCACAAAGAGTGTTTTTACACATTAAGTCTCTTTTCTTTACACATGCACTTTTACACCCCTTTAAGGCAAAACAAGGCACAAAATTATCCCCAGTCTGGTTCCTTTACACATGCCCAGATATTATTATTACATTAGTATTAAAATCATTAAGCTGCAGCAGATGTTACAACAAAGCCATGTAACTGGACCTCTACAATGACAGAGTCCACTCTTAATTTGAAATTCTAAAAAGACCCATAATGTTGTCAGACAGGTGATGCCACATCCTTGTACCTGAACTTCCAGAAGTCGTCTTGGTCTGGTCGGAGACTCTGGTGTTTCTCGGACCAGGTGTTTCCTCGGCTGTTTCCCATCCACACATCGTAGCCGTTGTCAAACAGCACATAACCCAGACTGGAGTTTGGTGGGTTGGTGATCCAGTTGCTGCTGTCAGCCAGGAGGCCGTGCTGGAGGAAGACGACCGGCCTCGGATCTGCAGGACACACAGAACTCTTAAACCAGAGCTGAGAGTCCTGGTGGACCACGGTCTGAGGTCCTGAACATCATTCATCTCAGCAGAGCACACAGAGTCTGACCTGCAGCTGGGATCCTGTTCACCGTCAGGATGTAGCCGTCCTCTGTCAACACCTCGTGCTCCTCTGCTGGGTAACCCCAGTGCCGGATAATCTCCGTCTGAACACACATTTATACTACTGCTACTAATACTGCTATTATAAGGACAGTTTAGAACCTTTCAGACCTGCAGAAATACAATTATCTTTTCATAATCTTGTGAAAAAAACTAACATTTCGAAAAATGCTTCAAATATAAACGATCCTCATCGTAATGTGCATTTATTCAAGATTTATATTTATCTGTTCTAAAAAATTTTAGTCAGCATAAATAAATAACAAGTAAGAGAATGTGTAAATATCACACTGATACTTCTTCACAACAGGAAGAAGAAAAATCCTGAACAAATCAGTGTTTCACTTCATTTGCCTAAGGGAGCATGTGCCTGTGAGACAGGACTGTGGGCTAAAAAAATTCTCCTGATGACTGAGCAGCTGAAAAGAAGAACAAAGGTTCATGTGGAAACAGGGTCACATGACCCACGTTGTGTCTGACCATTGTAGCAGTACAGGTCAACTGTTCAGATCAGTTTTTAATCTGAAAACCCTCCTGACAGCAACCACAGCTCGGACCCCAAAAGCCAAATCCTGCCGCCACATTAGCACCAGATCCAGATCAAATGGGGTCATCTGGTGCCAGAAGAGAGCCGTGTGATTTTCACAATCAGAAGGCTTTAACTGTCATTGTACATATGTGTGCAACGAAATTGTCGGTTGCTACTCAACTGGTGTATTCACCATAAAAACACACAACACAGGACATAAAAAGATAAAAAGGATAAAATAACGCCATAAAAAAGGTAGACTGTCATAGCAGAATAATACAAATATAAATATGCATAGATAATTAAGGTTGCACAGTTTTAAAGTGCATCTGTAGTGCGGGATAGCAGCTCTGGCAGTGGTACAACAATAATTTATTATTTATTTAATATGGCTCTGGAGTGAAAACATTTCTCTGAATCTGTTGGTGTGTGTTTTGGCAGTGCTGTAATGTCTACTAGGACTAGGTGACTAGGGTCCTTAAGAATGTTTTTAGCCCTGCTGAGGTAGCATGACATGGCGAGGTCTTCCAGTGAGGGCAGCGGGCCTTTCTTTTTTTAAAAGCATAAATGCTTCCTTTTAAAACTTTACACTGGCATTTTCGATTTCTCTGCCCAACATTCCAGACTATTATAAAATCAGTTATTCTGTGGAGGAAACAAAGTGGAATGTGTGCATGTGTCACATCTCACCACTCACACTGGCAAGGGGGACAGTGGTCTTTTCTGCAGTTCTTGCTCAAGTCTCTGCAGTGCTTTTTGTCCCCAGCAGAGCAGCCTGTATACCACACAGTAATGCCGTATGTAAGAACGCTCTCAACGGTAGAATGCCACCGGCAGCTTCCTTTCCTGAGCACTCTGACGAGGTGGAGTACTGTGCTTTCTTGATGGTGGCTGTGGTGTTAGGCGACCAAGAGAGGTCCTCAGAGATCTGGACACCCAGCAATTTAAATGTGTGCACCCTTTCCACACATTCCCTGTTGATGTAGAGAGGGGCTGGGTCTGCACTGTTTTCTCCTGAAGTCCAGTATTATCTCATTTGTCTCTGTGGTGTTCAGTGCCAGGTTGGTGGCTGAACACCACCCAGACAGTCTGCACCTGGTCTCAGTACGAGCTGGACTACATGGTTTCTAAATAAAAAGTGGAACTGGTCTTTGCTGATATCCCCCGGTTATTAAAAAGAAAGAGGAAGGCTAGGTCACGCTTTGGATTGAGAACCTCTCTCTGACCTTAGACCTGAATCTCTTGGGGTCAGAGACCGCAGGTTTGGATCAGATTCCATCAGCAAACATAAGATTCTGGACTGGTTTACTGATCAGTAAAGACCAAACTGTGATCAATGAAGAATCTACTTTGATCATTTCACTGACTCTGATTGGCCTCAGGTTCCTGTTACTGTTGATTTCACCATAATGTCTAAAGAAACATGTACTATTTCAAAAGTCATTTTTACAGAATAAAGGTCATAAGATTTTCAGAATAAAAGCTGTGCTAATTTAGGAATAACAACGGCCATATTTAGAGAAACTAACATTATATTAGAGGAACACGAGCAGGAAAACTTTGAGAATTGGGAGCTTGGTGTGTGGGATGCCTGCAAAGTTCCGGCTATTAAATGCACCTCGGGGTGGGAGAGTTTTGTCTGACGCGCAGATGCGTTTTGTTTTCGGCTATTATCGAAGAAAGTAATGTGGTGTGAGTTAAGACCAGCCTTTACTCTGAGGGTTCCCTTTGAGGACCTTATAGACAGTCAGCAGGGGGTACTCACAACGTTCATGTGCACTTCAGGGTCCAGCTTCTTGGGGCATCGGTGGACGTCACAGCGTGGGTTAGTCGGTCCGGTGTGGACAAAACCGGAGAGCAGCAACACACACACCAGAACACCCAACATCGTCTGTCTGAACGAACGAACACACACACACACACAGTCCGACCAGTGAGCACAGCTTTCTGTGCTTCTCTTGAGCTTCCTGGTCATGAGGGGCTGATCCAGTCGGATGAATTAAAAGACGAAGCTGTGTCTCTCCACTCTC